GGTGGCCAGGGCAACCATTTGGGCAGGACTGCACATTCACAGGATCCTCAAATTTAGATTTTGCCATTCCTGCACATAGAGTACAGAGTATATAGAGCATTACCTAATTTGTGTGGGTTGGGAGTATTATTTATTAAACATTTAAAATATACCATACTTATGTATTTTTAATATAATAAGAGTCACAAAATTTTGAAGTGGTGCAGGCTTCTCTTATGCAGAAAGACTCAAGTGCAAAGAGATTGAATTTTAGAGGAAAGTTGCTTGGGATAAAATCCTCATTCCAGATCATCCTGACTCTTAGCTCTATAATACCTTGGTTGGATAACTTTTGGCAAGTTTCTTAACTATGCTGAGCCTCAGCATCTTCCTTTTTAAAGGAATAATAATAGAACCTTCTTCATAGGTTGCTTGATAATTAAATATAAATATCATATGTAAAGAATCCCTAGTGTTGTATGAAGATTATAAAACCATATATAAAGCTCATGCATGTGGACTGGCATGTAGTTGAATCTTGTTTTACCCCAGTAATAGAAGTTTGTCTCAGCAAGAAATACCCTCCTACTATCACATTTTCATTTACCCTTGGGAGTAGTGACAATAGCTTATGATCCTGAGAGACAGGCATGATGAAACAGAACAAGTGAAACCCAATGCCTAGTGCAGCCCCATCTGGTTATATGACATTGTTTTGTTTGCTTTTATTGTGCCAGAGACTTAGTGGACAATCTTTCCAACTAGAGCTGCTAACTGCAGACACAAAGAAGGGTTTTCTGGACACTAAGGCACTGATGGTTGAGCAGGTTTTCCTGAAGAACAGGGACCCTTTTAAACTGGCTCATCAGTGTACTTCTATTAAAGTCTAATTAGAATAAATCAAGACAAAAACAGAGCAAGGGCATTTCAAATATCCCCTATGGTTAAGTGGGGAAAAAGTAAGCTGTAGGGCAAAATGTGCAGACTATTTATGAAAAGAAAAAAGAAAAAAAAAAAAAAAAAGAAAAAAAAACCTCACCCAAACAAAACTATGTATTTCTATAGGGCACATTGTATATATAAATATGATACGTGTACATACGTTGTTGTCGTTGTTAGTTGCCGCTGAGTTGGTTCCAACTCATGGCGACCCCATGTGTGCAGAGTAGAACGTTCCATAGGGTTTTCAAGGCTGTTACCTTTCAGAAGCAGATTGCCAGGCCTGTCTTCCAAGGTGCCCCTGAGTGGGTTGACCCTCCAACCTTTCGCTAGTAGCCAAATGCTTAACCATTTGCACCACCCAGGGACTCCATGTATATGTATATGTGTGTGTGTATACGTGTTATGTGTACACACATGCACATGTACATACCAAACTGACAGCAGTTGTTATCTCGTGGGGGGAAGGGATGTGGGATCATAATAGTTGCTGCCACCTAGAATTTCGGTGAGGATTCAGTGAAGTGATGCCTGCAAAGAACTTGGCAGAGACCCTGTCACCATAAATGTTAGCTTCTCTTATTTAGGATGATGGTAACAGAGATGGCAAGGCACTGGTTTTGTCCTCTATGTATCTCCATAAACACACCTCCTTATGGTCAACATTTGTCTGCCTGTGGTAGACAGAATAATGGCTCCCCAAAGATGTCCTTAAAAGTAAAGAATCTTTCCACATTGTGGTCACAGAAAGATGTGACCATGGAAGAAGGGTCAGAGTGATGAGATGTCGCTGGCTTTGAAGATAGAGGAAGGGAGCCATGAGCCAAGGAATGTGGGTAGCCTCTATAAGCTGGAAAAGGCAGGGAAACAGATTTTCCTCTCGAGCCTTCAGAAAGCAATGCAGTCTACTGACACCTGGATTTTAGCCCAGTGAGATCCATGTGGGACTTCTAACCTACAGAATTATAAGGTAGCAAATTTGTGTTGTTTTAAGTCACTAAGTCTGTGGTAATTTGGTTACAACAGTAATAGAAAACGAATACAGAATCTGGTACCTCGAAGTGGAGTGCTGTTGTTACAAGTACCTGAAAATGTAGAAGTGGCTCCGGAATTGTGCAGTGGGCAGAGGCACGAAGAATTTTGAGGAGCATGATGGAAAAAGTCTAGGTTGTTTTGAACAGACTTATTAGAAATATGGATGTTAACGACTGCTAGTGAGGACTAGGAACGGAGCTAGGAGCACAGTAGAGAAAAAAATAGATTGCCTTGGAGAGTAGCTAAATTTTGTCAACAGAATGTTAGTAGAAATACGGATATTAAAGGTATTTCTATTGAGGGCTCAGAAGGAAAGGAGGAACAAATTATTCAAAACTGGAAGAAAGGGCATCTTGTAATGTAATGGCAGAAAACATAATGGAATCGATCCTGAAGTTATGTGGAAAGAAGAACTTGTAAAGATTGAAATCAGACATTTAGCTGAGATTTCCAAGCACGTTGTTAAGGTGCAGCCTGGTTTCTTCTTGTTGCTTATGGTGATACGTGAGAGGAGAGAGATAAATTGAGGGAAGGACTATTAAACAAAAAGGAACCAGGCCTTGATGATTCAAAATTCTTAGATTGTAACAGAGGCTAAAATTCACTGTCAGGAAAACCCTACAACCTTTTGCATCTCAGAAAGATCAAAAGGTCAGAGTAAAGGCTCCTTAGAAGAGATTAAGGTGTGAGTCACAGCTCCCCTTAGTCAAACCAGAGAGTATCTAGGAAGGGTTAACCTTTTCGAGCTAAGTGGTACATATAGCGACCATGAACTTTTTCAGCCTCTGGAGATTACTAGGAAGTTAATGTACCACTGACAGTGTGTGCTGCCACAAGGCAAGGAAGGACCTTCATGACTGTTTGAAATAGGAGAAATGGGCATGTGCCGCAAACTGTTTTACAGGGTATTGTGTAAGGTATCTGAATTTTTGGGAAGAAAAATAAATTTTGAAAATTTTTGTTACACATATGTACAAATAGACCCTGGTGGGGACTCTCAGGTATAATTAATGGTACTTCATATGTACACTAAACACTTAGGGTAGGCTTATGGGAGAGGGCAAGAAAAAAAAGAAACCACACTACCTACCAAAAATTCAGACACTCAGTGATTCAGCATACTTCCATTAATGAAAACACATAGTATCAACAAAAAATTCAAAGCAGAAAATAACTGGCTCACTAAAGGGTTAATTAAGAATGTTGTCTCTCAGCCATCTTAGCAAAAACCAAAAATAGAGATGAGATCATCTAGGAAAAATCTGTGGACAAACCTCTTTTCTGATGGAGAGAATCCTGGTGATATACATGGGAAACCAGTAAGGTTCTTGGGAACTTCGTATCAGCAGAAACACTGCCAGCTTTGATTAAAAAGAACAGAGCAGATGAAATGAAAGGCAGCCAGACCTCCAACATTCTACCGGCAGGAAACAGGCTGACAAAATTATTCAGCTGCAAATGCATGCTACCTTTCATGAAAAAGAAGGATTGCTCAGGGGGTGGAGCTTCAAACTACAGAGAATTATTGCAAGGCCTTGAAACCAAATGGAATTTGCCCTGTAGGATTTTGAAATTGCTTAAGACTTGACTCCCTTTCCATTCCTTTTTCTGCCCTTTTGAACAGGAACTTCTATAACTGTTACCCTATGCCTGTCCCATCATGGTGTTTTGGGAGCAGATACCTTGTTTCTTTAGTTTCATAGGTCTACAGACAGAGAGGAATTGTGTCCCAGGATGGATTAGAACCTCATCCATACCTAATTTAGATAATGAGATTTGGAGTTTAGATAAGATTTTTGGGCTGTTTTGGATGTTGATACTATAATGGTATAAGACTTTGGGAACCTTGGGATGAATTTATTTTGCATGTGTGATGGATATGAGTCACTGAGGGCCACAAGGCAGAATGCTCCCCCCACAAAGACATCCACGTCTTAATCACTAGAACCTGTGAATATATGTTAACTTACATGGCACAAGGGATTTTACAGATGGTAAGGATACAACTTTGAGATGGAGAGATTATCTAATCACATGAGTAGATCAGAGTAATAAGATATGAGAAGGACTTGAAGGCCACTGATAGCACTGAAGATTGAGAATGGGGCCCCAAGCCAAGGAATGCTGGTAGTCTCTAGAAGCTGGGGGGAGAAAAAATCAAGGAAAAGGCTCCTACCTACCCAGAGCCTACAGAAAGGAATGCAGCCCTGCCAACACCTTGATTTTTGCCCTGTGAGACCCATGTCAGACTTCTGACCTACAGAACTATGCGGTAAAAAATTTGTGTTGTTTTAAGCCACTAAGTTCATGGTAACTTGTTACAGCAGCAACAGAAAACTAATACAGTACCTAATTCATAAGGTGGTTTTTCAGAATTAAGTTTGTTAGTACATCCAAACTTACAACAATGTCTAATATGTAGTTCAGCCCTCAATAAATGTTAATATCCCTCTCGAGTATGAGAGAAAGTGAAGACGTAAAGATGCAAAGATTACTATGAGATGGTGTAAGCAACACAATCAATGACCTGTATAGAAACTATCTTCAAGGGACTTTACTTTCAAATTAAGTTTCCAGAGATAGTAAACTTCAAGATGATGAGATATTGCTAGGAAAATCACCTAAAACAGGGCTGCAAACTCATATGCTTATATGGCTTTGCAGATAATAAACAAACAAGAGAAACAGATCATTTTCTATGACATCTTCAGTTTTTAAATGTTGGAAGCCAATTCACATTTAAACACACACACACACACACACACACACACACACACACACACACACACACACACTGCAGGCTAACCTGATTATGTCTATGGGCCACAGTAGGACTAGAGTCCCTCAGGTTGCAATCTGTGGCCTAATTAGTGAACGCAACTAAAACCCAAAAAAGGTAAATTGCCTTTAAAAGCATTTTTTTGGCCCTCTCACATTCTTATATCATAAAAGCTTTTCCAGAAGTGCTTTTGGAAGTATACCTAAATCTAAGCAAATTTTATTTATATGAATTCTTATCATGTTAATCAGAAAGACAAGTCAAATTATGTTCAAATCCAGTTTTATTAAAATTATTTGGCAATTTTGGTACCAGTACAAAGTCTTTGACTGTGACCACTGGATACATTAGACATGAGTTTATTTTGGTTTGTTGTGTTTAGACAATTGTACTTTCCTAAATCCCCTATACATTTTCATTACCAAATGGCAAAATGCCTTAAGCTTGTCTGTCCACAACAATCTATTATCCACAGAAAAGGAATTTGTAAAATGAGACTGAAAAAATAAAATCCACAGATTCAAAATATTCTCTTCAAATATTAGGAACATACAAAGTATATTAAAGACACCTACATTTAGTCCTCCAGGTAGCAAGGCAGGCTATTTGATGTCCATAGTTTCTTGTTTTTAGTTATTGCTAATTACAGTTCAGAGACCAAAGAGTTTCCAAAACCTATAAAAACCCTCACTGACATTCCAATATGGTTCCAATGGAATTAGAGGATAGAGTCAGGAGAATAGTTGATTTTGGTCTTTAAAATCACAAAGACTTTTTTCTTTAATGGGATTTTTCTTCTGCAGTAGCTCAGGACTATTTGCATACTTACTGCCTTCTAATTAGCATCTGCCCTACAGTAGATCTAAGTATTGGCTTATTTAAGTGTATTACTGGACAGCAAATGAGAGGAGACCTTCCTGTTCAAGGCAAAACTATTAGCGGACCTTAAAGTAAAACCTCACAGCGTCTGGTGCTCCTTAGTTGTTCTCCAGTGAACCTGAAGTTGTCTTTAAGAAAAGAAAAAAGAAAACTGTGTTAAGAATGTTCACACAAGGACTGTAAAGGTCTGCTACACGAGTTGTCCTGCTTTTCTCGCCACGTATGCACTCAGCTATGGCAATGGAGCCTAGTTATTTTGTTCCTATGATAAGAATCTCTGTTGGGGACTGGAATGAAGAAGATAAAGCAGAGCAATAACTTCAGAAAATTCTGTCCTCGCTGCTCTCAAAGGCTATCCTTTCATAAGATTCATGAGGGATGGTTTCTAGTCTCTGATTTCATGCATTGTCTATTTCTGAACATTGCAATTCCTAATTAAAGACCATTCCCCTAAATGGCCAATTTATTTCACCAGAGGTAGAAGATTGCCACAGCATATTAGTGTTGATTGTCTTAATATTTTTAGGTGCAAACTCTCATTCCTCAAAGAGGAACATGTCGTTATAGTCTATTGTTAATTTGTGGTCTAAATAGCATCACTACTCAAAGAAAAAGGAAACTTGGCAATTGAAACAGGCAAGTTTCTTTAGTTACGTCATGAGAATAGGGTCAAAACTTTGCAAAGGTTAACTGTGCAAGTTATTTGTGTTGTCCCAGCAAATTAGACCTATGAATGTTAAGTCATAGCACTAACTGTTATATTCAATAATACTTTATTGGAGCTCATATTTCCCTAATAAATGAAGATAAAACATTTTCTTTAGGAATGGAGATATATTTTGAAGTTTTTCAAAAAATAATTATTTGCATCTAATTTAATCTTTATTTATAAATTGAAAATGTCACCCAAATTAAAGAAAAGAATTAAGATATGGCTCTTTCCCCCAGATTCAGGGTTAATCTCATTCTTCAATTCAAGAATACTTAAAACATTCAAATAATATATAGAACAGAAAAGCAATGCATATGGTGTAATGTTGTCAACTCATACCTAGCAAAGCATTTCAACCTAGGAGAGGGAAATTATACTTACAAATGGAGTCCTGATTCCAAATTTGCTATGAAATGTCATGGTGACTTTGTTTTTATGTCCTGTTCTTTGATCAAAGGCATGGCATGTATCAAAAGGTGGACTGTACAGGTGAAGGCTCACAGCAGGTTCCGTGTGGCTGATATTCTCTACCCGATGTAAGCCAATGGAATCTAAACAGTATCCAAGAAGGAAGAACAGAAGTAGCAGCTCAGATAATATCTGAAGGCAAAAATTTTGTTAATCACTTAATAGCATGAATCAGTTTTGATGCACATGGAAGTAACAGAAATCAATTAGAATTAAACTTCCAGTTAAAGGTGGTAATTGACGTGCATGTATTAGCCCCTGCTCCTTCCTGAAAACTGCCTGAAATGACAATAAAAGACTTAAAAAGCCATAAAAATACAAACACAAAGAAAATGGGAGAAGAGAAAATAGTAGTAAAAATTTGAATGCTTTAAAGTAAGTATCTACCTACTTTGCAGAGAAGAGAACATGAAATCATAAGCCATCGGTGGGGATGGCGAACACCAGGCACCATTAGAGAGTAATGAAAACAGGTGAATTAAGTAAAAATTTACATATTGAATGGTAAGATCCCCACTTTCTTCACCACCTAGCTGCCAGAATACTGCCAGACAGGATTTTGTTCTGCGGGTAGGCGATAGGAAGCCTGTAAAAATAAGTTATCATACTTTAGAGAAGTCCCCCAGGCTTGTGTATGAGCCCTACTGTTATTCATCCTAGTTTTGTTTTTTTTTTTTTGGGTCTTGCCTCCTTTCTCTTCATGCCTATAGTCTACCCTCTGCCACAGTAATATTGGATCTTTCTTGGTGATACTTATGGATGCCAGTTTGGTTCAGGTCCTGTCCACTGCTTGCTCATTACAATAGGCAAGTTGGTCTCCTTGCCTGTATTCTCCCCTCACTTCCACCCTATGCTGCACACTGCTACCAAACTGAACAAAGGCATTCCCAGTTAAAACTCTGCTGACCAAAGAAAGCTCTTACTTTAAGTTGTCTTGGAGGACCAGGCCCTGATCCCACTTCTACTATTCCCTTGTCCAGTGGTGGAACTCTCACCTTCCGTGCAGGAGATTGGGGTTTGATTCCCAGCCAGTGCACTTCATACACAGCCACCACCCATCTGTCAGTGGAGGCTTGTGTGTTGCTATGATGCTGAACAGGTTTCAGCAGAACTAAGATGAGCTAGGAAGAAAGGACTGGAAACCTACTTCTGAAAAATTAGCCAGTGAAAGCCCTATGGATCACCGTTGTCTGAGCTTGCTATACATGGGGTCGCCAAGAGTCAGGGGCAGATTCAAAGGTAGCTAACAGCAACACTTCCCAGTCCAAGCCCATTCCTTCTTCCCTCTAGCTAGAACATTCCTGAATAGTTTTCATTCTTTGCAACTACTGTGCCTTCATTCATGCTTCCCTCTGTACTTGAAACATCCTTCCCCCATCACTATCCATCTCCACCCCGTACTCCTGGCATCTGTAAAAATCAAAGGTTGAATATGTGGCCTTTGAATTATTTGTGTCCCTGAGTGGTACATTACTATGCTGGGCTGCTAACTAAAAGGCTGGAGCTTAGAGTCCACCCAGAGGCACCTACGAAGAAAGGCCTGCCAATCTACTTGTAAAAATCAGCCACTGAAAACCCTGTGGAACACAGTCCTACTCTGATACACATGGGGTTGCCATGAATTGGTGTTGACTCCATGGCAACTGGTTTTTCTGGTTTTGAGTTATCTATATAATTAGTCTACAGACATATTTAGTTTATCTCACCCAATATTTTACAGATTGGCACAATTTCACATAGAACTTGGATGTTCCAACTTCTCTGGAAAAAGAAATCAGTACTATCTCACTGGAGCTGAGTGGTCACTGCTGCCCCTTACATCATGTGGCCTGCATTCCAGTTTTATCACAGTCCTCACCATAGCCTTATCCCTGGCCTGCACCACCCCTTACCTTACCTGACTGGCTCCTATAGACTTTTGAATTGCAGACCCTTGATAAAGCTTATCTATTCTTTAGGATCTAATCAAGTTTCACAAGGAAGCTCAGTGACTCTAGCTGAAGGTAATTATTATGAAAGCGTTTGGCTTCACTGTGAGTGGTACCGGCAACAAGCTCTTCTGGGGAATCAGGGGGCCTTATTCATAGCAGCCTTCGAATATTTGAGTAAATGAGCTTAAGAAACTCACACTTTGGTGCTAGGTGAATGAGGGAAAACATTTCCTATATGACCTTCGTAAGTGACTTGCATTCCTAATGATCTAACACATTCAGGCCAAGTATGAATGCCCATATTGTACCTTAAGATTTGTGAAAAACAAACAAAAAAAACCCAGAAAACACAGCTCCTTTGCCTGAAAAATCTCTATAATCCTTTATTTCATATAAGCAGGTAGCATCCTGCTTAAGAGTATTAATTCTGGAATCAAATTGCTTGGGTTTAGATGCTGGCTGACACTTAAGAGCTACATGACCTATGTGGGCATCCTCATCTGTGAATGGGAATAAAAAACATCTGTCTCATATAGACTCTAATGAGTTTTTTGGAATGTTACTACCCCCTTTAGGAATACAGAAGTTATCCACTGCCTATCCTGAAAAGCATTTGACTATCTTATATCACATTTAGGGAAAAAACTGAATTCTTGGTAAGATATCTATAAATCACTGCTAAATAGTGTGCTTTGTAAAATTTCCCTTGATGATACTCTTTTAAGTCTGCTATATACATTTAAAAAACAAAACAAAGCAAAACAGGACTAGCTAGCATTCTTAATCACATCCAGACCATTTTTTTAAACATTTTCTAACACAAAGATAATATTCAAAACTTAACCTTACTCTTCTGTTAAAAGATTCTACTTACAATTCATATTTGACTAACTGTCCTAAGTCTTGGCCCCCATAACCCGTTGCTGTTGAGTCGATTCTGACTCATAGTGACCCTACAGGACAGAGCAGAACTGCCCCCTAGGGTTTCCAAGAAGCTGCTGGTGGATTCGAACTGCCCACCTTTTGGCTAGCAGCCAAGCTCTTAACCACTACGCCACCAAGGCTCCAAGTCTTGGCAGGTAAAAAACTTTTCAGTGGACGCTAATCTGCATGTATATGTTTTTGTGATTCCAATACAGATGCAAAGCCTTCAGAAAGAAAACCCACTGCTTTTACGTCATTTTCAAAGTATTTGAAATCATGACTCCATGATCCAGGTTCCACTGCATATGTATAAGTAACCAACATTTCAGAAAGGAGCTCAAGGTTATTTCCACCTGCCCTTAGAAAAAGGTATAGGATGTTACCATTGATGTAGGCACACTGGTTTTCCCTCAAGATTCTTTCACACTTCTTGATCATCTCATTGGACTTTTTGTCAGGCCAGGCAAACAGTGTCTCCTTTAGATTTCCCTGTAGCATCTTCAGAAAGCAGTGGGAGTCGGTGTGATCATGGATACTGCTATATATGCACAAAATGACAAATGAACTCAGTAGATGGACCATTATTCAGACCTGCAATAACATGCCCCAAAGCTTACAGCTGCACCACTGTCAATCAGACATGTCTCAAGCCAAAATCAAGTGAGCTGGATTTTAAAGATGTCATCAATTTACAGTCAACACTGTTGAGGGCAAAGTAGTAAAAATAACATGCCATCCATATCAATGAATTAAAGAGTTCCAGTTTTAATGCATACCCCTTCTAAAGATAGACTTTTTTTTTTAACCTTGTTATAACACTGCTTTGATTTAAAAAAAAAAAAAAAACCTTTAGTATTTCCCTAAGATATATATTTTAATAAGTCATTTACGCTGCGTTAGAACTTGATTTTAAAAGTACATTTGAAAAATTTTGGAAAGGATAAAGATCATCATCTATAATAACTGCCACACTGAGAAAAACACTTAATAGTTGTTCCCCCCAGGCTTTTTCTCTTTTTTCCTTCCTTTGGTGAAAAAAGACTGTGTATATGTATGTTAAGATCTAAAATTAAAGTGTATAGAATGTTAATATTTTGTAGCTTTATAGCACATCCTACCTGTGATTCTCTCTCAATATTGGTAGGAGAAAGAAAGTAAATTGGATTTGGGGAAATAAAAGATTTATTCAGATAATCTTTAGAGAAAATAGTATTTAAGTAGGAGTCCCTGGGTGGTGCAGACAGGTTGGCAGTATGAACCCACCCAGAGATGCCTTGGGAGATAGCCTGGTGAACTAATCTGCTTCTGAAAGGTCACAGCCTTGAAAACCCTATGGAGCATTTCTACTCTGCATGTGGGGTTGCCTAAGTCATAATTTACTTGATGGCAACTAACAACCACAACAACAGTATTTAAGTATATCAGGTAGCAAGAAAGTATTACTCATTAGGGTTGATTAAAATGTATAAACCTGTATAATTTCTGGTATTTTTTGCCTATGCTGAATTTGCCTGTGCTGAATATATGTACCATAAGAACTTATTTCCTAAATCCTTACAGCCTAGTCCTATTCCTAACATATAATCTGCTTTCAGAAAATATTGAGAGAATGAATGAAAACAACTCTATTCCATATATGTAAATAAATGTACTCTATAGAGAGGATGGAGCTGGCACTCAACTTTCTGAAGCCTTGTGAATTCATGTTTTCTTTTTTCCATCAAACATGGGCCTGAGTTATTGGTTTTAACATTCTCAAAAGACTGAGAAGGATCTAATTAAGGAGATAACAACACTCAGGTGGTAATAAGTCTGACCAAAGTATAAACTAAAAAATAGTTCAGGAACCAAGTTTCAAAGGATCATTATTAGTTTAAGTTGCCTTACCCTCTAGATAAAGGAAAAAAATAGTAATAACTTCAAGTAGAAAGAAATTTTCTGAATTTGTGAATTGTTCTTCTAGCTCCAGCACCTAGATGCTTTGGTCTTTGGTCCCATGATTGTTTACACACACCTCAGAGCACACAAAGGTCAAGTTTTAGCATAATTCCATGGAAAGTTTAACTCCATAGAAGACAGAGAGATTAAGTTAAACTGGTTACTTACCTCCTTTGATTTACTCTTCATTTTTTGGAATTAGTTTTGATAAACGCCCTGTGCTACTTTCTATGAGAATTTTTGCTGGGATTAGGGGACATTGTGAACAAATACTTATAAAATGAGATTTGCTAGTGTTCACAAGACTTGTAACTAGCCTAGCATTGTATTTCTCACATGCTGGAATAGATACTGAATAGTTGTATTACCTGCCATGTCCTTCACCCCAACACAGTATCATCAAATTAAATTTTCCATTTCCTTCATCCACGAGATTTCGGGTATATCTAAAAAGAAGGTATTCACAAATTTGAATTTAGATGATGAAATAAGCACTGGGGAAAAATAAATGTGTCACAAAGTATCATTTACCAACAAATGTTAATGTTTCTACCTCTAAACAATTTTGAATGTGGTTTTCTAATTAGAAATCCAGCACAAATGAAAACAATTTTTTTTAACAGTTCATTTCGGACATTTCTGTAGTTTGAATGACTTCATTTCCTGAGGTAGCTGCTCACTTTTAATTAATGGTATGAGAAAGATAACAGGAAAAAGAAAAAAGTAAGTTCCATGATTCTAAGTGTGACAGCCTCAAACTAATAAAGAGAAAGTTTCTCAGAGACATGTTTGAAAGTATATTACTGTTCTAGGCAAGAATGTTGCTATTGTTTTTTGTTTTATCCCCCTCTCTCCTTGTAGCTAAACCAAGACTGGAGAAACAAGGTTTCATTAAACAGCTATTCTAGAATTCTCCTTAGTTTCTCTATAGCCCAGACACAAACCACATTCAAAAGCACTCAGAATGTAATAGGATGGGGGTTTACTGAAGTACCAGAACAAAGGAGGCTACGTTAGGGAAGTAAATAAGAGTCTAAAACCTTTTACAATTAAAAGAAGTCAGTATTTGGTAAAAACTAAACAAACAAACAAAAAAACTAAACCAAACCAGTACAACCACATCACCAGAAACATAAACTTTAAAGTTTCTATTGGCCCAGTAGGTATTACTGACACCATCTGATCTGCAAACGTTGATAATTAGTGATATATATTTAGACGGTCCTTTTTAAGGAAAGGGATTTTACTCCATTTTTTGGAGTGTTTGTTGACATGGTCATCTGTTTACTTATGTGTTGTTTGTCCCTTCCTCCCCTTCCCACCCCCAGGCTCTGCGCCAGGTGCTGACACAGCATTGTCTCTGAGGGAGTTGCTTAGCCAGTACTTTTTAGTCGTCAGTCTTCTTACTTTGTATCCCTTTATGATTTAGCAACCAGCGGTGCACACAGCCTTTACTTCGCAGTAAGCTCAGTTCTTGCACCAGAATCCTACTTCTCCCTCCCCCAGTCTTTGTGTCATCATCTTGCTTTTATGGTGCTCTTCCTGAGAAGTTAACTATCTCGCCCACACTAGAACATACTCTGTCTCAGTTCTTCCACAGCGGCCCTCCCAAGGTTAGAGATGAGAATCCTTCACGGTTCTAGGGCACCTATTACACACAGAAAATACTATCAAATTGAATTCTACTCTCCCATTTGTCTCCTTCCCTACTCCCCTAACTGCGCACTCAGGACATTTATCATTTCAATGAGCTGTGCTTCCGAATACCTTTGGAATAGAAAAATCAAAAGGCTTAGAGCTTGTCAATTAAGACTAATTCAAGGTTCCTAAATATGCCCTTGTTTGAAAGATTAAGATGTTCAAAAGATGGAGGTTACAGTTTACCCTAGTTAACTGATTTCACTCGGCCAATAATATATCTGTTGTTGTTAGCTGCTGTCCAGTTGGTGTCTGACTCCTGGTGACCCCCTGCACAATGGGATCAGACCATTGTGATCAACAGGGTTTTCATTGGCTGATGTTTGGAAGACGATCACCAGGACTTTATTCCTGGTTTGTCTTAGTCAGGAAACTCCACTAAAACCTGTTCAACATCATAGCAATAAGCAAGCTTCCACTGACAGAAGAGTGGTGGCTGCACTTGAGGTACACTGGCAGGGTATCAAATCTGGGTCTCCTGCGAGGAAGGGGAGAATTCTATCACTGAATGAACCACCACTGCCTTCAGAGTAATAAAGTCAGAAGAAAATTATTATGGTAACATATGTCTGAAGGAAGTTTAGTAGTGGATTAGAGTGTGGATTCTGGAACTATATTGCTAGGTTTGAATCCTAGAGCTGATACTTGATAGACGTATGACCTTAAGTAAATTATCCAATCTCATTACTTACCATTCCTCACCTGTAAAATAGGGATAAGAATGGTACCTACCTCAGAGGGTTGTTGTGAGGTAAATTAGTCAATACATGTAAAGTGCTTGGAAGAGTCCTGTCCCATAGCAAGCACTCAATTACCTGGAGCTACCTGGTGATCTACTTTTGAAAATAAGCCAATGAAAACCCTATGGAGCACAGTTCTACTCTGACACACATGAGGTCACCATGAGTTGAGATTAACTGGATGGCAACTTGTTTAATACAGGCAAAATTAAACGAAAACTAGACTCTCAGGTAGCTTTATTGATAGCTACAGAAGAACCTTACCATGAACTGATACAACCAAAGAAATTTCTTAAAGCCACTTGCAAATGGAAAATGGGATACTCAGTAGGCTTCACTTTTTCTATTTCAAATCCTAAAACAGTTGAAACAGTCCTTGCCTATAAAACTCTACCAAACACACTGTGTGTTAAGGCGTAGTGGCTAACAGAAACTGTTCCCAAGGAAAACAAAGTTAACTCTTCTTTCTCTTTCAATTACCGCCCCCCACCCCGTTTCCTCAATGCAAGCAACCAAAAAGACTGAGGCTCTGGTTACTCTTCGGAAAATCAGAATCTTTCATCCTTCAGGATAGTTAAATATTACTTCTGGCCCCAGAGGATTGGTAGAGAGATTCATTTTTACTTAATCACCACGCCAGGGCTGCAAAAAGTCCCACCCTACCAGGCAGGGTACCTCACTTGAACATTATCTGGGAAAAAGAGGTCTTCGATTTACATTCCAGATCCTCAGAACTAAGGATAACAGAAAGCAGACTAAGGGCCGAAAGAAAGGCGGTTGTGTACTTAATTAGCGAAACCTGATAATGGGTTTGATAAATCCACAATTGGGATGGTCAGTTCAACTGGTTTGGGAGAGGGGGCAGCAGAAATTGAAGTGTCGGATGACAACCCAAAATGGCTGTGGGCAGGTGCCTGATTGAGGGCGACCAAAGGGCCAAGTGATGGAGAACTGGCAATGGGGAATTGTGTCCCCCACTGTTCCCTTTCCTCCCGATGGGAGTTACAGCTCTCTCACGGGGGTACCCTCCTTTCGTCCAGTCGGTTCACCAGAGCGGTCGGCGGGGCCAAGTCTGGGTGTTCTGGCTGCAGGGGCCTCCCCCATACCTCCGTGCCAGGGGTCGGCGGGTGGCCCACGGCGGCAAGCTAAGCCCGAGCCGCGCACGGGAAGGAGGCGATTGCGTCGGGGACAAAGGTCTTGCTCCCGAGGCCGGGAGCCGAAGTGGGAGGAATGGCGGTTTGGAAGAGGAGCAGTAGGCGAGAGAGAAAAGAACAGAAAACTTCGCAGCCGCGCGCGGTGGCCTCCCTTCGGGGCGCCCGCCCGCAGCTTCCGGCCAGTGGCAAGCAAGGCCAGTAGGATGCATCTTCTGCCCGCGCTGCGGCCGCGGAGCCCAAAGCGCGCAGCGCCAGCCTCGCTGCGGGCCGGCGAGGGGGCGCCGCAATGATGGGTGCCGACAAGGCTCGGGAGCGATGAGAGGGTGGGCACGGCGGTCGCAGGGCTCCTCTGGGGCCAGTCACCCACGTCTGTGCCCCTCATGCTCGATCCTTCTTTCCTCTCCTCCGACTCGGAGAGTTGCGCCGCTTGGCATGGAGGCCAGCGCCCAGAGATTCTGGGCGGGTAGGCTAGAGCGCGCTCACCTGTACTGGTCGAATTTAGCGTACAGTGCCCACTCGGCGGGGTCACTCTCGTAGGCTTCCATGACCGCCTGCACCTCCTCCACATTGACCTCGTCGCCGGCGAACAGCTGGCGTAGCATGCGGATCAGATCTGCCAGGGTTTGTGGCTTTAGCACCTCGGTCCTCTCCATCCCGCGCAGAGCAGGCGGCGCGCGCGTCTCACTGCTGGGCTGCCGTGGAGGGGCTGAGCGCGCAGAGCCGGGGCGAGAGACCTTAGCTGCCAGCTAGACAGCTACAGACACACACACACAAATCCCGCAGACACTCGAGTACCAAAAGGTAAAGAATTCCTCGCAAAGATCTCAAGAGTCCACGGCAGCGTGGCGGATCTGGGCTAGCTACGGGCGGGCAGCTCACACAAATCAAGACCAAATCCGCAGAGTGCAGCCTCCCGGGCCCCTTTTAAGCTCCAGGAGTTAACGGGAATGTACCAACGGCCTCCGGGGTGGAGAGAGACGGGAAGCTAGCAGAGAAAGGGGGGGGGGGCGGGGAGAGCCTGCGGGAAAGACCCATCCACGCAGCCCCGGCTTCCGGAGCCCTCTGAGCCCTTTCTGGAGCCGGTTCTCTCCTGCTGGGGCTTCGCTCGCGGTGGCCTTCGCACACTCTCTCCCCCATTCTAAAAGACGCGTTTTGACGCCCATCCCAAGCCCTCTCCCCGCGCCTGCTTAGCCACCTCTCTGTGAGGCTTGCCTCTGCCGCTCTGGCTCGCGACGCTGGGACGTAGACAGAAGGATCAGAAGATGGCTGGAGGGACGCTGAGGAAGGGGAAGGAAACCCACCTTTCCTTCCAAATGGAGAAGAGGAACCATGAGGACCCTGAGAAGACTGAGGATGGATTCCACTCGCAAGCTGGAGAGTGACTATGTTTTGTACTCCGCTGAAACTATCGATAATATACCCCAGGCTAGGTGAAAATGAGTTGAAGTCTTCCTTTTTTTAGAGTTTTAACTGTAACTACATTTTGACAAAAGAGGCTTGGGTAGAGGAAGACTAGTGAAACGATGGAAGGCAAAGTATTCCTGATTGCTTATTTTAAAATCAGGCATTTCCTGAAAAATAATATATTCAGTGGAAAGAGCCTGGTGTTTCAATTAATGGTGAAAAGTGCTTTTTTATATATTTTTTGGCTCTTAATGCAGTAATTTAAGAGTTCTAATTTGATGATTAAAAGCCTTCAATTCTAGGCGTGTGCTGAAAGAACCTGGTTCTTTTCATACAAAGAAACACATTTCTATGTTGGGCAAAGAACAGCTAGCTGGGGCATGCCGTGGAACAACACAAATTAAATGTGGTTGAAAATAGGAAAAAACGTGAGGGATAGAAGAAGTGTTAAGTATAGGTTCCCTCTTTCTCAGATCAGACATGGACCCGGGCAACAATTTGGATTCTAGGTTATTGAAGGTTTAATCTTCTAGAAGGTGAGACCATAATTTACTTGTGCCACCTGCTGTCTTATTTTAAACATCCCTGGTTAACCTGATTGCACTATATTCTAACAAAGTTGTTGTTAGATGCAGTCCAGTGGGCCTCGACTCATTGCAACTCCATTCACAACAGGATCAGACTTGTGTGATCCATAGGATTTTCATAGGCCTTTCTTTCTAGATTGTCTTAGTCTGGAAACTCCACTGAGTCCTGTCCACCATGGGTGACCCTGTCAGTATTTTCAATCCCGGTAGCATAGCTTTCAGCTTCATAGCAACGTGCATGCCTCCACAGGATGACAAACTGACAGACTTGTCAACTGCGCTTGAGGTGCACTGGCAGGAATCAAATCCTGGTCTTCCAAATGGAAGGCAAGAAGAAGTGAAAATGACAGCTCAATCACCATTTTTCAAGAAGGACTAAACCAAACCTAACCCATTCCCATCTAGTCAATTCCAACTGAGTGACCCTATAGGACAGGGTAGAACAGCCCTATAGGATTTCCAAGGCTGTAAAACTTTACAGAAGCAGACTGCGACATCTTTCTCCCCTGGAGCGGCTGGTGAGTTCCAACTGCTGACCCTTTAACCACTTAACTGAGCACTTAACCACTGAAGAGCTGAGTGCTTAACCACTGGGCCACCAGGGCTTCTCTCAAAAAGAACTAACCCATTGCCATTGTCATGGATTGAATTATGTCCCCCCAAAAATGTGTGTTATCAATTTGGCTGGGCCATGATTCCCAGTTTTGTGTGGTTGTTCTCCAGTTTGTGATTGTAATTTTATGTTAAAGAGGCTAGGGTGGAATTGTATAACACCCATACTAAGGTCACATCCCTGATCCAATGTAAAGGGAGTTTCCCGAGGGCGTGGCCTGCACCACCTTTTATCTTACATGAGATAAAAAGAAAGGGAAGCAAGCAGAGAGTTGGGGACCTCATACCACCAAGAAAGCAGCACGGGAGCAGAGCGCGTCCTTTGGACCTGAAGTTCCTGTGCTGAGATGCTCCCAGACCAAGGGAAGATGGATGACAAGGACCTTCCTCCAGAGCCTACAAAGACCGAAGGCCTTCCCCTGGAGCTGACACCCTGAATTTGGACTTGTAGCCTCCTGGACTGTGAAAGAATAAATTTCTCTTTGTTACAGCCATCCACTTGTGGTATTTCTGTTATAGTAGCACTAGATGACTAAGACAGCCATCACGTAGATCCCAACTCATAGTGATCCTGTAAGGACAGAGTAGAACTGCTCCATAGGATTTCAAAGGCTGTAAATCCTTACGGAACTTTCTTCTGAGGGGTGGCTTGTGGGTTCAAACCACCGACCTTTGGGTTAGCAGCCAAGCACTTTAACTACTGTGCCACCAGGGCTCCTTCCAAAAGGACTAGAGAGGTAGAAATCAATCCAGTAGTAGTCAACCTTTTGTGGTGTGTGTTGCAAGAAGTGGTTAATTAACAAAATATTTTGGAAAAGAGTAACTTAGGCACTTTTCATTGTTTACTCAATATTGTTTTATATTCGTGTCAGTATTTGCTATTGGGTCTCTGATTTACATCATTTCAGGCATTCTAATGTAAAGTTCCTTGTGATTATTTGGAGTGAACAATAAAAATGAAACAAATGCAAGCTTAATTCATCTTCTCTGCATTTAACACAACGGATGTCTCAGTTTCTTAGTGCTGTTGTAACAGAAATACCACAAGTGGGTGGCTCTAGTGAACAGAAATTTAGTTTTTCATAGTTTAGCAGTCAGAAGTCTGAGTTCAGGGCACTGGCTCCAGGGGATGGCTCTCTATTTGTCGGCTCTGGGGGGAAATCCTTGTCTCAGCTTCTCTAGCCCCAGTATCTATCTTCCCCTATTTGTGGTTGCTTGTCTCTGTGTCTAATTGGCTTTTTGAATATCTCAAGTCATTAGGTTTAAGACACAGCCTACACTAATATAACCTCATTAACATAACAAAGAAAACTTTATTCCCAGATGGGATTACATCCATTTGTATAGGGGTTTGCATTCTAACACACATTTTTTTTTTTTATTGTACTTCAGGAAAAGGTTTACAGAACAAATAGTTTCTCATTAAACAGTCAGTACACATATTGTTTTATGATATTGGTTAACAACCCCACAACATGTCAACACTCTCCCTTCTTGACCTTTTTTTTTTTGGTGAAAATATACACAGCCAAAGATACACCATTTCAAAAATTTCTACATGCACAATTCAGTGACATCGATTACATTCTTCCAGTTGTGCTGCTATTCTCACTTTAGATGAAGGTTTACAGAACAAAATAGTTTCTCATTAAACAGTTAGTACACATGTTGCCCTATGACAATGGTTAACAACCCCACTACATGTCAACACTGTCCTTACTCAACCTTGGGTTCCCTATCACCAGCTTTCCTGTCCCCTTCTGCCTTCTAGTCCTTGTCCCTGGACTACTGTGCCTCATTAGTCCTGTTTTGTTTTATGGGGCTGTCCAATCCCCGGCTGAACGGTGAACCTCGGAAGTGACTTCACCACCAAGCTAAAAGGGTGTCTGGGGGCCATACTCTCGGGGTTTCTCCAGTCTCTTTCAGGCCAGTAAATCTGGTCTTTTTTTGTGTGTGTTAGAATTTTGTTCTACATCCTTCTCCAGCTCTGTCCAGAACCCTCTGTGTGATCCCGGTCAGAACAGTCAGTGGTGGTAGCAGGTCACCATCTAGCTGTACTGGACTCAGTCTGCTGGAGGCCTTGGTAGCTGTGGTCCGTTAGTCCTTTGGACTAATCTTTCCCTTCTATTCTGTTCTCTTCATTCTCCCTTGCTCCGAAAGGGGTGAGAGCAGTGGAGTATCTTAGATGGCTGCTCACAGGCTTTTAAGCCCCCAGACGCTACTCACCACGGTAGAATGTAGAACATTGTCTTTATAAACTGTGTTATGCCAATTGAGCTGGATGTTCCCCGAGACCATGGTCCCCGCAGCCCTCAGCCCAGCAATTCAGTTCCTCAGGGAGTTTGGATGTGTCTATGGAGCTTCCATGACCTTTCCTTGTACAAGTTGTGCTGGTTTCCCCAGTGTAGTGTACTGTCTCGCCCTTCACCAAAGATACCACTTATCTATTGCCTATTTAGTATTCCCCCCCCACCCCAACCATCCCTCCTGACCAACAAAGATTGTTACTTTTTGTGTGTAAACTTTTTCATGAGTTTTTACAATAGAGGTCTCTTGTAATATTTGTCCTTTTGTGATTGACTTATTTGACTCAGCATAATGTCCTCTGGTTTCATCCATGTTATGAGATGCTTCACAGATTCATCGTTGTTCTTTATCATTGCTTAGTACTCCATTGTGTGTATGTACCATAGTTTGTTTATCCATTCATCTATTGATGGGCATCTAGGTTGTTTCCATCTTTTTGCTAGTGTGAACAATGCTGCCATGAACACGGGTGTGCATATGTCTATTCAAGTGATGGCTCTTATTTCTCTAGGATATAGTCCTAGGAGTGGGATTGCTGGATCGTATGGTATTTCTATTTCCAGCTTTCTAAGGAACCACCATATCGTTTTCCAAAATGGTTGTATCATTTTGCATTCCCACCAGCAGTCTAACACACATTTTTGGTGGACACAATTAAATCCATAATTGTGGATTTCCCTTCCATTTAAATTTTTCTCACTGACAATTATTTTTCTGCTTTTTCTGTCTCCTCTCTTCCTGTGTCTGCTTTCATTACAGAACGGTAGTTCTGAATTTGACATGCTGAGTACTACCTCAATTGGATGCCTTTTTTCACCTCAAATGCAGTATGTTGGAAACTCATTTCATGCATGATTTTCTATTTCTGGAGGTTCTATTTCAGCAACAAATCACCTAGGCTCAAATACCTCATTCAGTACTGCTTACTCTCCTTCTTCCTTCATTTCCCCCTGAACTCTTTTAACCAATGACCAAGTTTTGAGTCTC